GCGGTCGACCGTCTCCAGCGACCGGAGAGCGCTCTGACTGAACTTTTAGAAGACAAAATTCCTTAGCTCTGAGGAGTGCGCAGAGCCAGAGGCTGCCTTGGATGATGCATTGAACGTGTTCAAGATTTCCACTTCTGGAAAGGTTTCTCTCCGGCTGCGTTAGCGTAGATCAGGGTTTGGAGGCTTGAAAAGTAGCTCCTCCATAAGCTGTAGAGGGTGACCCAAATGAAGTGACAAGTACGAAAAATCAATGTCTGAACTTATAGCTTTTTTCGATATACAAGACTAAAAAAGATAAAGTCAAAGTCTCNGCCGGTAATGAATCCCATCAATGGGATGCGCCCACGCATTCGACTTCCATTCCAGCACAGTACTACAACAGGGCTATATCCATGTCCATTACCCTTGTCTCTCCATTCCTCATACTTCCTGTGATCCAGCGGAATGCTATTACTGACTTGGTTCAGTCTGCTGCTTTCTTTTCTTCTATCTGACATAACTATTTTCTTTCTTGCCTTGTTGGGTGCTTCCAGTGCTATCTAACCCCAGTCCTCGATTTTTTTGCCAGTTTCCGACGAGTCGGTTCCAAGTAGGAGGTTGGCAAACCCTGTGCTGAACTGCCGACTCTGTCCTATGACTCCCATTGGAATGGGGCACCTCATGATCTGTATTGTTGGTTGCCAACACTGTACTACAACAGAGCCACAACCATTTCAACTCTTCTATCTCTTCGTTTCTCATACGTCGTGTGATCCAGCGGACTGGCATTATTTGACTTGACCTCAATGCAGTTTGTCATGGACTAGCTTTGATCTTACGCCCTGATCATCCTTTTGTGGTGCACTTTGTGAGTGTTCATAAATAAATAGTTAATTGGTGACTTAAACAAAACTTTTGAAGCGAAAAAGAGGCGATTTCCACGAGAAAAGTCCACTATTCCCATCATCAGAGATAAGGCATCAAGTCTGTAGGTATTGATCAATCCCGTTTAAGGGATACGCCTCCGCATTCGACTTCTATTCAGAATAGAAATGCCGTATTGAATGAGTAGGAGACCTATACAATGAATTGCGGTGGCCAGCCAAATCGATCCGGGATTCGAACCCCTTGACTATGTGTGTGATAGTGCACCACTTTACATATCACATTCGCTCGTTTCCTTCACTACCCACAGTATATAGTAGAGAATTTTCTCTTTAACGAGGTTGCAGACAATTCAAAGTTCAAAGTAAGGCACACATGCATAAATAAAGCAGCTGCTGAAAAACTCTTAAAATGAGTTTTGTTAATTTACCCTTGAATTTATTCTCGAAGTGTGCTTGTTCAAAAGGTAGGTTGAACTGATACTCATTGCGGAACAGAACTCAGTACGTGATGTTTTCTTAAAACGCAGACCACAGCCGAACCCTACTTACAGTTGTTAGGATTGATTTGTACATTTAATGTAATCCTTATTATATAAAAGCGCTCGCGTCTATCTCTCTGTCACGAAATTCGATACTACCTAAAGGAACATCTGCAAGGTCGGGTCAGGTTCGGAATGGGTTGAGCATAGGACAAGATCAGCATAGCACACGTGAGCTCAACGGAGCTCCGCCCAAAGGGATGGGAGCGGGACATGCACAGGAGTGGGTGGTGTCTTGGGCAAATCTTTCTCATTCGCTTTCCTAGCAGTCCTGACGCTGGAAAAAAATGAGCAAAGGTGAGGGATTGACAACAAATGAAATGAAGGAGTCTAAGCGGCGATGGGCGAGGCGTTCTCGCAGTGGGCGGTACTTCGCACTTGAGCTCACTGGTGCCCTAACACACACATTGTCAAGGGGATCGAATCGCGGATCGATTTGGCTGGCTACCGTAATTCATTGTATAGGCCCCTACGCATTCAATACGCCATTTCTATTCTGGATGGAAGTCGAATGCGGAGGCGCATCCATTAGACGGGATTGATCAATGCCCACAGACTTGATGCTTTATCTTTGATGATGGGAATAGTGGACTTTTCTTGTGGAGATCGCCTCTTCATCGCTTCAGAAGTTTGTATTTAATTAACTAATTAATTATTTGTTTATACACACTTGCAGATGCACCCCAAAAGGATAATCAGGGGGTAAGATCAAAGCCAGTCCATGAAAAACTGCATTGAGGCCAGGTCAAATAATGTCAGTCCGAGATAGAAGAGTTGAAATGGATGTGGCTCTGTTGTAGTACAGTGCTGGCAACCAACACCAGAGGTCATGAGGTGCCCCATTCCAATAGGAGTCATAGGACGGAGTCGGCAGTTCAGCACAGGGTTTGCCAACCTCCTACTTGGAACCGACTCGTCGGAAACTGGCAAAAAAATCAAGGGCTGGGGTTAGATAGCACTGGAAGCACCCAACAAGGCAAGAAAGAAAATAGTTATGTCAGATAGAAGAAAAGAAAGCAGCAGACTGAACCAAGTTTCCAATAGCATTCCGCTGGATCACAGGAAGTATGAGGAATGGAGAGACAAGGGTAATGGACATGGATATAGCCCTGTTGTAGTACTGTGCTGGCAGCTAACACCAGAGAACCAATAAGTCAGTGACCACACCAGTTGGCCATGGTGCAGCATTACAATAGGAGTCATAGGACACACGGTTTCTATTAATATCGTTTGCCAAGCTGTACCTCCCTCGAAGCCTTCCTCTGGGTTTCTGCTGCAAGCTGTACGCTGATCAGTCTCGTTTTGCCTTTGTTGAACGCATTTCTCATTTATATGATACATCCCTCATTTCAAGGCTTCACGACTTTTAAGCAAGTGTTTGGCTCGTGAGAGACGTTGTGAAATCGACGGAAATTAGCTAAACGAATGGCCCAAGAACTCTATCAGAACAACGGGCAAACTAATCAGTTCTTGATGAACCGCTTGATTTTGCATCTCAAGTCGAACCTTTCAATGTGAGATCCTCTTGAGAAGTACAGGTGTTTAGCCGACTTGCAAATCATATGGGATTGCTTGGAGTTGTCGCCTGATGATGTCGCTTTCTTCAATAGATTCCGAAATCGTTGATGCAACGTCGATGCAACATTGCTCTTTGGTCGGTCCGACGCAACTGCATCTGATTATCACGAGACTCTGCCTCTGCTCCGCTCGTCGTTTATCGCTTCTTCAACAGATTGCCGTGGCATTCGGCAACGTATTCAACGAAAGTGGCTCCATTTCTGACGTCAATTCACGAGCAGTTCTTGTTTCTGCAGATTTCTTAAGGTAGGTCTCAACCTTTACAGTCGATTTTTGTAATTCGTCTCTATTGGGTGAGGGATTTTATTGCAAGAGAGGAAGAGAGGGCCGGCCATCTTAGTGATAACGATCAACCAGTTCAGAGTGTGTTGCATTTTCGTCATCTATATGTATGCAGCTCCAAGGGCAAACGGATGACTGCCTTGCATGGGTGTCAACAGATTTTCGGATGCGTTGTTTCTTCTTTGCATACAACGCTAGTGTCTGCTAATCAGTATCTTGGACTGTTCGATGCCGTCCGAGTGCTGCTTTACATATTGGACCCGCTCTGCGCTAAATTGGCCCTTACTGACAGAAATAGCTCAACAGTTGTGTTAAGGCCGGGTCTGTTTTTGTCGACGAAGTTGATGCCATAAGCCGAGAAAAATCATAAACCTGTTCAGACATCACCCACACAGAATCAATGATACTTTGTTGTTTCGAGCAATAGTCTCGATAAACGGGTACTCTTCATAATCCGCAATTCTATGAAAAATTCATCGGTCGAAAACGTTACTTGGTGTTGACTTTATGATACAGGAGAAAGCGGTGAATCGGCTGACTTTCTTTTGTCTCGTGGAACTCGCTAAGAAAGCAAGGTCACCCTAGCCTCTTGATCCATGTTCACTAGCCACTCCCAGGCCTATTACCCATGAATCTTGCGCTACGCAATTTTTCAGAAAGAAGTCCATCAGGCGTTTTTAAAATATCTTTAATCTCTTGTACACTGGGTTCTGATATTTCCTCTTATACAGTTATGAAAATGCTGAAAGTCTTTCGATAGAGCCCATACCATATTCAGTTGAGAACTTTGTCCTAAATTTCTCTCGCATTTCTAAAAGCGCACACTTAACTACCTCGATTCTAGTCGGAAACTCGCTTGCTTCAAAGGGTTTTTCACAAAGGTCGGAAGCAACACCTTCCCCCTCACTTTGATCGAACATCGTGTCCTTGACGAGTCATCTGCAACAATGACGTTATTTTCCGCTTTGTGATCATTTAAAGGGGATAGAAGACAGATAGATCCTCAGTAGGAAGAGTAGCCCCCAACTGCAGGAACAGGGCACCAAACAAAGCTCGGTCTAATTGTAAGCAGGGCAGGGTATTGCAAGTTTTCCACGATTGGCTTCAGGCCATGATGACCCCTCTCATAAAGTACGGTAGGCAAAACAATATCTGTCCAAGGATACTTTACAGGCAATCCTACGCTTCCTCCCCGCCCGGGTTAACCTGGGTGTGGTGCGTTAGGAACGAAATGGTCGCGACGCGGTGAGAGGGGCGTCGCGCGCGAAGGGATGAAGCGGGATGCAGCAGTGGGTAAAAAATAAAAGATTAAAGGTACTAATAGTAGAATTATGCATAAAATAATGATCGCATNATCGATTGAGCTGCATGAAGAACGCTAGAGCTGTAATAACGGCGAATGAGTGGTCCGCGACAGCCGGTGCGGCAAATCGATTACCCAAAATCGTTCCTAACGCCCGCCTTCCAGGTTAAGCCAAGCAAAGTCTGCGGCATAAGTATCATGATAATACATGTATTGTTTCCTTTAACCTTTTTTAGCTGAAGAGATCTTTCGTGAATCTAATAGGAAGGTTAGGAACGCTCTCAGGCGTCCATTATCTCAAGGGGATTAATCAATACTGACTTGTCACTTCTTAGTCCCAAAGCAACTCTTTAACAGAGCATGCGCTTTCTTCAGCCTCATACTATGCGTCTGTCTGTCGACATGAGAAAGTCATGGTGTTTTGACACAGTTATGAAGTTGGTGGAAAAAGAGGCTCATAGAGCAAATAGCGCGTTGCCAGTGTCTAACATCAAGATTCGTCACATCTGCAGCGAGCGTACCCGTGCTGCTGATCTTTCGTCTCTTATCATGGCGTCATTGCCACGCCTGCCGTTTACGCTCGCCTCCACGTAACACTGGGACGGTTGGCATGCTACATGCTAAGCGTAACGACTGAGTTTTGAGGTGACTCCGATAATTGCAAAGCCCATAAAACGTGCCCACAAAGTGCAGTCATATTAATGTGTAGGTGTTGGACCTTGATAATTGGATTACCTTTATCACTAGTTTACAGAGTTAGCAGCTCATTCCACTTTATACACTTGGCCTTGTGGTTAAGCTCTCTAGTACGTCAAATATATTCTTTCCATGGGAACGTGCCAATAGTGACATTCCTAGCTAAGGGAAGGAGAACCATGTCAAACCACTTATTTAAAGTGTTTTTGAAGAACTGCTATCATCAAGCTGCACGTCGCCCTCGTGCTCGTTGACGTAGCGAGAGCTCTCTTCAGTGAGTTTCCCATGCCAACGGTTATCCTAAAATGTCATGAGTCTGACCCACATGGTAATCGCGTCCTTGGCGTATGCGATTGGGTGGGCGGAAATAGTGTAGTTGGTGGCAATTGAGGCATCATCACACGAGCATGGTTCTGTAGTCAAATGCCGACTCGATAGGCAAAGCAAGTCCTACATCGCTTCTGGGTGAATTAGTGGATACCATACTCGTCTTGTAAAGTAAGAGCACTGACTTGGCTGCCTGCCTCAGGTCATTGTGTGGGTTACATGCGCACACAGAATTGCACTGGTGTTTTTGGCAGATTCAGTTTGATCGATTCTGAATGGAAATCGATGGAAATTGGTGCATCCCAAAAGCGGGATTAATTGAATTTATCAACGCGGTAGACTGCATCCTTGATGCGGCAGCGTCCCTGTTCTGTGACCGTCGACGAAATCGGAAACACGAATTCCTCAAATCCGCTCTATTTTTATGTGCGCTTGGAAATTGAGAGAATAGTACTCTCCACATCATTTTGAATGACGCCGACCACTTTACATTCTGAGTGAGCCGAGTACAACNCTATGACGCAGACGAATAAAATTTTAACAGGGGCAGACGTTCGAACTAGTTTTCCGTTACCGCTATCATCACACTAAAAATCTGCCAAAATCTGCTGCCAGAGAACTCTGGACGACGGTCCCACCATCGCTCACAAGTGCCGATTCCTTTCATCGAAGAGACTCTGGCGAGGGCGGATTCGTCGCAACGTTATCCACTTGGGATTCTGTAAACCTCGTGTGGAGTTGTATCAACAAAGTGATTCCAAAATAACGCCCAGGATCATCAAGAGTAGCGCGGGGGAATTAGTCCATAACAGTGGTTTAATGCGAGCGTGAGAAATCTCTCCACTCTATTTACAAAGCTAAATTCGAAGAGTTATCGTACCGCAATCATTGACGTGACCAGAATATTTTATTTTTTATATTTCCATCCATGCGTCTAGAGAGAATAATTCGTAATCACTCCATAGAGCATCCTGATTCAGTGGAGGTATCATCGTAATGAGAAGTGTTCCTAGGAAACCTGCTAGGAAATCTGGGCCCGTACTTTCCTGTTCTAGCATGCGTGGAAGCATGCGTGCGTAGCATCTGAGTATCAGAATTGACCGCCGCATTGTTAGCAATGGTAAGAATCTTGATAGCCATGACAAGGTCGCTAATTTCTAATTGAGTAAATAGACCAGGAAGGAATAGATACGGCGAGGCTTGTAATTGCCGAGAACTGATGCACTCTCTTGTAGGCAGTTCCATGATATACAACCAGCTCACCGAACATCTTCACGATAATGGGAAACAGAAAGTCTACAAATCGTTAGTTTTTACTTCTGCCTCGAGGTTTGTAGGTGGAAATATTTATTACGGCCGACGTTTCGACGGACTCGTCGTTTTCAAAGGCCTGAAAGTGGTTCAAAGCGTGTTGATTGTACACTACCCCATCAAGCGCCTCTTCCGCTCTAGCGTTTCTGACGTACCATCAGGAATGCACGAAAAATGCTCAAAATCCGAAAGGTAAGCTCACCTCACTTCCACCGCAAAGTGTAGCCACGCTACACGGTTAGTACATTAGTAGCGAATGATCTTAGTCCGCTGTCCTTATGCAATATTATTGCGGATCAGCACGGTTCGCTGATTATGGAACTAACTCGCAGTGTTGCATGAATGGTAAGAGAGATCATTTGTGATAGTCACACACTCCTTTCGGCTGTTCATATCTGGATTTCTNGTGGAAGCATGCGTGCGTAGCATCTGAGTATCAGAATTGACCGCCGCATTGTTAGCAATGGTAAGAATCTTGATAGCCATGACAAGGTCGCTAATTTCTAATTGAGTAAATAGACCAGGAAGGAATAGATACGGCGAGGCTTGTAATTGCCGAGAACTGATGCACTCTCTTGTAGGCAGTTCCATGATATATAACCAGCTCACCGAACATCTTCACGATAATGCTAGGGGAACAGAAAGTCTACAATTTGCCAGAGTCGTCTCTCTCCGAAATCCCTCGGGCTGATATTCTGGCCTGGAATCGCACAAGCTACAGGCATCACATCTTACATCCGATTTTAAGGAAGTATGCAAAAAAAGAGATAAAGGAATATCTGGAAGAACGAAGAGCAGCAAAATAGGTCGAAGCCAACGAGACCGGTAAGAGCATTCGCAAAGCCCGCTGCAGCTTCGCAATTTGCAAAAAAGTGATGACTCCTCTGTTTTGACTTGATGTTTTATCAACTGCTGTCATTTCAGCGTGTACGCTATCCGCAAGTCTCACAAGAATGGCGATTTGTGGGCAAGGCTTTGGCTCGGAGAAACTCGCACCCGTACTTGTGCTTCCCGTGGATCGTACTATTATATTTATTCCTTACACTACCGAGATCCCACCTGCCTCCTTAATGGCTTATAGCTACCGTAGCTGAGATGAGATGACAGGGAGACGGAGATGACTTCCCCTCGTTATACTAACAAAACAGTGACTGTGTCTCGAGAAGCAATGAAGAAGGTCATCTATGATTTCTACTCGAATCTCTTCACGGCCAAATCTACCTGCCTCCCTACCATCTTGGACAAGACGGATATTTCGTTGCTTCAGTGCTCCTTTTCGAAGTTCAGTATACCATCTCATCGATGAAGAGTTGTATGGCGCCAGGTCTCGATAGAATTAAAGCAGAACATCTAAGTAGCCCTGGAGTTATCGTCATAACTTTAGCTACGCTCTTCACGAGCTATCTGTCGAAATGGAAAGTGCCCACTTTGCGGTGAATTAGCGAGATTATGTTGCTTATGAGAAAAGAGACCCAGACGATATCGGCAACTATCGCCCAATCTGTCTGCTGCCCGTAATCTGTTATCTTTATACGCTATTTATCCTCAAGAGCATTTTCAGGGTACTGAATGAATGACAACCATGCAAGCGAGCAGGGATCCAAAATAAGCTCAGGGCACTCGATTTCATCCCCATTGTCACAAATTTCATTGAAGTATGGCCAGAGTACAGCATGCCGTTATGTCTTACGCTCATCGATTTGAACAGGGCCTTCGATATTAATAAAGCAAGATTGAATCAATTGAACTCTTTGGCATCCAGAATGTTCCTACTCAATACATATGGATACCTTGTGGGCTCTACAACAAATTCGTGACCAATATTTCGTCCTTCCACAAGGAGTTCATTGTCAACGTGAAAAGAGGGGTTCGTCAAGCGACATCATCACGCCCANATTTGGAATAGGGAGGCCTGGGAGAGGAAGTGGGAGCCACTACTTACATCCTCTCCGCTTTGCAGACAACATCGAACACTGAAACTTGAGCAGGTGGAGCGAACGCCGACTGAATATGACAGCGCTTGGGGAAGATTAAATTGACCGAAGACGATGTGTCCATGAGAAACAGATTGGTATCTGATGCTCCCTTCACGCTGAACAGAACCATTACTTCTGAATGCTCTTGCTACGTGTATCCAGGTCGGGTAGTGAACGAGATGAGCGACCTCGCTTCTGAGCTAAGCAGAAGGAAACGCGTCACGTGGGGAGCATTTAGAGATATTGAGGTAGTAGTTAAGAAGACAAACAACTCCGGCGCCTTACTTTTCGTGCTGCGGTCCCTCCTCATCAGCATACGCCTCAGAGACTTGGACTCTACATAAGCAGGATGAACATGCAGCTAGCGTCATCCTGTGGGAAGGACTATGCTCGAAGTTACCTTATACAACAAAAGCAGGAGGGAATCCGAGGTTCCGAGCTTCGTCAACGAAGAAGGGTCAGGAATGGTGTTGCTTATTCCAATGATTGAACATCAAAGGGCCGCACAAGTCATACGATATTGCGATGGCTGTTGGATGAGAGAGATTACTGATTGAACCCTTCGGTGCATCAAACGAATACCAGAGCGGCCGCCAACACAGTGGTCAAACTTTTTCACAAAGGCTCTGAATGAAAGGAATGCTATGTGTCGGGTCCCTCAAGCGAGGACGATCCACCGGACTATTTTGGCTCGCGATAGGGATGAGTGGAGACGTCATTGGCGCCTGCTCGAGGAAATTGACGATCAACGGAGCGAAAGGTGACAGGAGGTGAATCAGACTTCTTCACTACTTACCTTAGAACATTCTTGTGGTCGCAGTTTTGAGCTGTTGCCCATAGCCACAGCGAATTACATGTATGTGCCAGCCTGAACCTTGGGCTACGACTAGGAATATTCAGCACCGTCCAGTAAAGTGAATACGTTGAACAGCAAATCGTCGGGCTCTTTTGTAAACTGCTGGCGTTCGCTCCAGATTTCCCCTTTTTGAACGGATCCTACAACCACTAGCTCTTCATCTAATGCTCTCAAAAACTTCTTTGCCTCCTCTCAGTTCCAGTCATAGACTTTGGCAGCTAGTACAGAAATCGGCAGCTCAGATAATTCTTTGCATTTTAGTGGTGTCTTTTTTGCCGGGCCCCGGACTGGGCTCAGTATGGAACTTGTTACATTTCGGGGCTCGGACTGAGCCCCGAAATGTAACAAGTTCAACTTCTGCTTCATTACCCGCATAAGTGAGAGGACCTTATTGGAGAATGGAATTCAATAGTCGTTTCCGAATCCCCTCATTGGATCGTCATCCATAAGATATTGGTGCAGATCTGATGCTACCGCTGCTTGAAGGAGTAACATTCTATAATAAATATCAGAAGGAAACCTTCTGTTTTCGCCAGAAATTGGCTACATTTTCTTTTGGTACCCCATATCGCAATAATAACAATCCTTCCTGTTGCACTTTCAGGACGACAAGTTCTTCCACAACTGTGGTGATGTCATTATTCTTATTTAAATTTACTTCTATTAGAGCAGTCAATTAATGAAATTCTTCAGTGGTCATCTACCGAAAACTGGAAATAAACAACTTATTTATGTCGATTTAACAAGTGAGACCATACACCCTCATCGTTTATTCTGTACCCCCCTACCGTATATTTTGAAAAAACCAGTGAACGAAAGTGATTTCAACCATTGATGATGAGCTTCTCTGGGTCAAATTGCGTTTCAACGATGAAGGTTGAAGTCTTTGATTTCGATCTACCGTTTTTTGGAATGCGCCCTGCATCAGACTCCCATTCTGGATTGTAGCTGTAGTGGCGCTTTACAATGCGTGTGTGACGTGTATTATACATGTATGTATTACAACAAACTTGATGTGGTCAGCCCATATACAACTCTGAACTCTATCCTCCTCGACATGTCTGGTAACCTCACCCTTTCAAAAGTACATCGTACCTTCCGTCCTGGAAATCCATAGACTGCACTGGCTATTAAATCTCGAGAGATGATTTTGGTGTTTGGCACTTGAAGGGGTCCAGCCTGCTACTGCTCTGACTCAACTGCCTTGTCCGGTTCAAACTACGTGTTCATACCACTTCATTTTCAGACTTTATCTCTCTCATCTTGTTTCCTTATCGTGGTATTTATAAATAAATGAATTGTTAGAGGGGTTTGCTCGCTGAGGCATCGAAATCAGTCACCTTTCCACGTGCTCCCTTTTGGTAGAATTAGTTGCATACCCACTTTTCCACCTGAGCACTTTAATTTTATTCTTACCATTTGCCCGGTAGCCTGGTCTGTAAGTACTTTGACGGCTGCGAAGCGGACGCCGTGTTGATGACTCTTGATGTCGACCTTCGTTCTTATGTCTCTCTTCTCCGTTATCGCGCAATGTTCTTCGATGTGGCACTGAGAAGTTGGGTGAGATGGTATCGTTCACCACCATCCCTTCTCTTCCTGTCATACGTGATCGTCATTTTGTGGTGAACTTCTTAATAGGTGATTCAGGCAACGCCCATGAATCCTCGAACTACTCAAAATTAGTGGAAAAGGCTGTGATCACTTAGGAATTGGACTGGGACTTGCTACAGGTTTTGATGAACTTCTTCCTTCCCTTTTCAAATCGCTTGATACTCATTCAGAACGGAGGTGTAAAATGAGTCTGTTTCCTGGGATTGAGAAGAGCCTCTCGCATTCTACTTCCATTCAGAAGCGAAGTCCGAATCAGTATATTGTTTATAACGACTTGCGACTTTCCAATTCCTGGAAACAGAATCAGAATAGATAGAAGGGAATCCGATCACCGACCGCGCGCCACCTGGGCTTACCTCACATCTCCCAGAGGTGAAAATGTACAAATATTATACAATAAAAATCAATTTGAATAACCTATAATAGTAATAATATAACACTAATATCACTTGCATCAACAGTCAGATGAGAAATAATCAGTTTGCTAGGGATGACCATTACCACGTTTTCTACAGCACATCTCGAGATTCCACTCTTAGGTGTGGATCACAGCTTTGCTTGATTGGGCAGGCAGCCGTAACGTCTCCATTTGTCCCTTTCGCAAGCCAGCGTAGTTAAGATGAGTGTTCGAATCATTTAAAAGCAACGAGGCATAAAGCAAGCAAAATCTCATCTCACACTGATCTTCGGTCGTTGACGGAACTCCGAACTCCAGATTCCCGTCTTCATTGGCGTGAATCGCGAAATTCCGAACATCATCCTTTCCACGGCGCGTATAATGACGCTGACTGCTGACTACATATTCATCCTCCCTGTGTAGATTCAAGCCTCCGAGACTGAGGTCAGGTCAGGAAGTCACAATGTGGAGAAGGTGATCGCGCAGTCGGATGTTCTTTCCCTTCCTCAGTGCTCCCTCGAGGATGGTGAATGCTCGCCACGCCGCCCTATTCCTTCTGCTTTACTTCGGAGCTGGGCTGTGCATCATACTGACTTCTCAACCACGTGCACGGACTGTCACTTACACTTCTACAACCCAAGGTGAGCCTTGCGCGGTTCTTGTTTATGTTTACCTTGATGCGAGCTCTTCTTCAGGAAAACTCCACTTTCCAACTCCGCCGAAACCGGGAGCTAGTTAGACTACCCTTCGTGAACTTCTTCTCAAGCGTATTATTTGATCCGTGGTACGCAGATCTGGTCTGGTTCATAGGATTTGTTATGGAGGATGGGTTGGTTATGTAACTCAGTTCCAGTCAGGCTTAGACGATTTTCAACCCTTTTTCCTGCTCGTGACTAAAGACAATGTCAGAATGGGTGGCTGTTGGCCTGGTAGTTTCACTGCTGTCGGCAGAATCCCTCAGAAAGCGACTCCACATTGCCTCTCGCACGGTGATAAGCAGCAATGGCGATTGTAGCCTGGTAACCATTCAAATAGTGCCTTATCTGAATACGTTTCCCGAAGACAAAAATTATGAAGACTCACGTGTGAGCAATGTTTCTCGCACCGGATTCGTGGATATTCCCTGGGAGCACTCCTCGATACCCTGTAGCGCCAGGAGTGCTCTCAGGGAGTATTTACGAAACCGGTGAGAGAAACATTGACGAGGACATGCATAGCACTTTCGCAACTGACTGGTAAGAGCTCTAGGCTTCTGGGCCACTGCCTGCGATTTATTCTTCGGACTGACTAATTTGATTGCCATCCAGACTACCCGAATCACTTCGTGCAGGTCACTTTTCAGTCACTTGAAAAGGACGAGAACGAAGACGAGTTGAATACATAAATGGTTGTCATTTCATTGAATAGGTTATAACCTATTCAGTTGCTTTCACACTTGAGAAAGCCTGTGAGATACTCCTAGAGAGCGAATAAGCTATGAGGCTCCTGCCCTTTTCCTACACGACCACTACTCCACTGCAAGTAAATTCCACCGGTCTCGTTGATCACTGCAATCCTTCACTGCAGAATTTTCACAAAAAGAAAGAAAATCACATATTCCATGACCAGGGCTGAGACATTTTGAGTTTTCGATGGTATTTATAGAGATGTTGGAGAAGAGAGTCGGAGATGCATGGATTTTCTGAAATTTGCTGGATTTTCATTTTCAGGAGGGATCCACCTCTCTCTGCTTGTAGAATGCATCATTCGGAGATTTTTCACATAGTGGTTATGTAGTATAATATTCTATGTGTTCATAAGGTTTTTAGCAGTTCAGAACGAGAAGACTGAGCGATCCGAAGCTGCTGATTTGCTCTGAAATTGGTTTACGTAGGTCTTTGGAACTCGATATAATTCAACCTCTTGCTTCATTCTACTCTAGCAATCTGTAAAAATTCTTGCCGACATCAAAGAACATGGCAAATTCTGTAGATTTAATGGCACTGCTAGTCGATGCCGCTCATCAGTAGAGTTTCATGGGAGGTTATCTGTCGATTTATGTCTGACCAGTCGATGGGGAAGTGTAGGAGGGAGGTCGTTTCTTTGGTCGTCGTCTCTCGGCCACTTTACTGCGCTCGAGAAGACACCCGCATCGCCGGGGCGCTCATCTCGTCGCCGCGTCTGCTGTCTGTTGACTATTGTTCCGCGGCGCTCGCGCTCGAGAATTCTCCTTCCTATCTATCCTTCGTTCGTTCGGTCATCACCGATACAGCCACCATCGCAACCACTCCAAAGTACCGAATATTCGCTTATATTCATTTCCCAGCCCACTTCTTCATCTCCGTCGAGCNGCTGTGGTGGTCCAACGCAGCTTTCTAGAAAATCGACGACGGCCACGTTGAAATTTGTGGATCTGGTAGTAAGGAGTGGCTTAGAGAACAAGATCACTGTCCAGCGCTTTAACGAGAACTTCGCGATCCCATCTGTCAGATTCCCTCCGTGAGATCCTATTCCTAGAACCACACTGCCTTCGTCAGAGGATGTTGTCGACGACACGGCGAGCGTCATGTGTCGACGCCTGACTGGGAGAAGTGGTTACGCGTCGAAAAACCTTTGGGCGTTCCATTGGAGAGGCTCAGATGACGCAACAGTGAACTGTTTCTGTGGTTTCTAACGGTAGAAACTCAAGTCTCAGTGAGCTCACCCTACCTTCAAAGTATTTCCCTTCCTTCCCTTCTTCCCTACTCCCTTACCATAAAGAGAATGACGATCTCGGAGTGGACTTGTGCTTATAACTCTTTTCTGAACATCTCCCACACTCTATTCCATCGACATTGCAAAGACACTTGACTGACCTTATAAAGCTGAAGGGGCAAGGTTTGGGCAGCATTAGCCAAGCTAGAAATCAGCTGGTAACCTTGTGTGGGTAGGGCTTACCCGATACGGGTCTGCGCTTCTTTTCCTTGCGCCATCACCATCTCTTTCAAGAATAACTTGTTGGGGGCCTATACTTATTTCAGAGCCTTGCCCCTTGGACAACCCCTACCAACTTACTTCAACACTGGGAAAAGATCAAAGCTTTGCTCAATCTGACCAAATGACTCATGCACTCATAAACTAAAACGCTATCACCTTTCCATGTGATGCGACCCCATAAACTTGAGCTCTCTTTGTCAGGGATAATACAAGTTCTACACAGCCCGCTGAATGAGTTCGACAATTTTGGATGGATTTCGACTGTGTGGCGTATCCTGAACAGCCCGGCTTTGTTTTTTGTATGAACTTTCACAGCCCAAAGGCTATTTCGACGTGCGATGGGTTGGTGCAGGCGGTTCACGTGGATTGTTTGAGCAGATGTTAAGCGCTCAAAGAATCCCTTGCATTCCACGGTGATCGTTGCTCCATCCACAGGATGACATATGCGGCTTCTATTGATGTAACTAAGCTCAGGGTTGCCAGTCGCGAGCATCGACTGACGATGCAACCCTCGTCGCTGAGAAGACTAGGCAGCCGTCACGCTCTCGACCAATAACGAGAAGAATCCATAGAGTTTAGGCGATTTGTTGACTTTGCGTCGGTCGGTTGCCCGGTCGGTTAGTCGGAGAGATGCATTCTGGCGCAGCATTTGTTCCGTGCACCACAAGCCTCCAAGTGTTCCGCATCAGTCGCATTGATTAGTTATCGTAGGTTGATGGCCTGACCCAGCTGACGTTGGCTTCTGCAAGTTCGAGTCATCCTTACCGCCTTCTCTTTTCACTGGGAGGCAATTCCTCTAACAGCAGCCTGTGGTGTGTAATCTTTGTCAGCGCTGCACAGTAGCATCAGCAGGCTATGGTTTCTTCTCGTTGGATTGTTCACGTTGTCGTTGTGATTTTTATGAGTGCTATGTGTTGGATTCCAACTGGTACAACGGCTTTCTGGATGGCTGCGGCTCAGCCTTAGCGTTTCTTGCTATCAGCCGTCTCCATATCCTATGCCGTCGTAGAGCCTCTCCGCAAACGTCAAAGGCCCTTAGCCGAGCCGAGTCGCTCACTAAGCAAATAGAGCTGCACTCTTCCTTCAGAATATGACGGCGAAAAACTCAACCCTGGACTAAGCCGCTGCTCCCACTTCCTCAACCCGCAACTCAACGTCATCGTGTTCGTTGCCTTCGTCACCGAATCCCCAACTATGCCGTTGCCATTAGAGTGAAGATTAGTCGGTGGCTATCGGGTCTGGCCGATGGCGGACGGCGACGAAGAACGCCGACGAAGGACATATGTCGGATGTAGGGACTGAAACCCGTCGTGTCTATCGATTCCGGCGCAGCTCCCTTCGCCGCCGCCTCTTCTCCTCCACTCCAGTTTCTTTGATGTCGACTAAGAGCGCCTCACCATCGTCCTTCGCAGCCGACACCACAGCCACCGACGCCTTTCGTCGACGCGCATCGTGCAGTCATCCGCAGCGCCTCAACGTCACAACTACCCCCATTCGCGAAGGCCATTTTCTGCGTGAAGGCGTCGCATTAGGGTGGTTGTCCTTGATATCAACATGGAATATTAGTCTTCGCCGTGGCAACGGAAGGGATTCTGTGAGTTGAATGTTCGATTGTCTTTTTTGGCTTAAGCTGATCTCCCTGCCGAAGCCTTGGGGTAACACTTGTTACACCGGTAACTACCCTATCAGTGGCAGGGTCACAGACGCGATGCGATCAACGATAATGCGTTTGGGACGCCACTGCAGTCTTCGTCGTCAGTTCGCCAGTCTCCAGTTCATCGTATACGTCGTTTGGCGATGTACCTCGTGCTACACTGCGTCTCTTGCGTTCCACGCCATTCGCTTATCGTCTCGTGAATCGTCGCTTCGTGTTCTGATGCAAGGGAGCTCCCGCGCCGTTTTTGTCGCCGGTATCTGACAGTTCCTTGCTACGGAGGCACGACCAGATTCTCCCGAGGCGACGCAGTCTTCCCCACATAGGACAGCGGCGATGACGATCGCCTCGAAGATTAGCAACTCGTCGTCGTCTCTGTTCTCCTTTTGGGTGAATGTTCGTTCCAGCCTTCGTATTGTCTCATCCCTAGTCACTTGTGTTGTTTGAAAAATTCGCTCAGAATCCTAGCAGAGTTTCAATTCTCAACGGAATTCTTCCGACTCGTCCTGGAAATTGATGCCGCGCTTCAGCGAACTTTGCTCTTTTAGCCCACTCCGTGGGCCCATGGCTGGGCACTTTTAGTTCCTGTTTTCTGAGATGAAGCATTGTTGCCGTTAGAGCTGCACAGAAGCTTTACTTACGAGGTACGCAAACCAAAAACGGTGGGAATGAATCAACTGGTCTGATAATCTTACGCCTCACCTTATTGAGTGCCCTAATTCAAGTAAACCGATTTGGCCTCGATAAAAACTAAGTACTCTGCCCTCTGTGACAATACGTCACTGACCGCTACACATTGAGAAAAGTAATGGTTACTCGGAACTGAAGTTCACTGGGAGGTTGAGCGGATCTCAGAACTTATACGTAGGACTGAAAATGAGCCAGACCACAGAAGACCAGCGCATGAGCGAAGCGCCCCCGTTACCTCCACCACCTAGGGATTGCCACGCGATTGCCTTTGATCGTCGCTGTCTTGAGTTCATCTGTCACCTTCGTTAGAGAAGTCGGCTTCCTCGTCTGACTATTCTTACACTCTTTCCGACGATCGAATATTCCCCCTAGCAACTGGTCGTTGTCGTCATGTGAGACACCCTGATTCATTTCTTCGTGAGTTCTGCTGACATCATCACTTCGATGTGATTCTCAACGCTACCTACGCCATCTCTGCGATGTTTATCTCGAGCAAATAAAGCAGATATCTCTGTGGTCCTTGTGAACGGGCTAGTTGATGAGTGAGTGTCCAATGAGACAATCTGGGAGTGATTTTTCGCATTTGTAGGAAGACGTCAAGGCCGTCGCGGAGGCGGCACTACTGGCCCAACCATCGACCCGTCGTTGAAGACGTCAAGGCCATCTACACGACAGCGATCTGCTGGGGTGCAACGTCGCGATTACGAAATTGTTCTTTGTGTGCTGGTTGGTCGGGTGGTTGCTGTCTGGTCCTGAATAACCGAAGCGCCACCCGGCACCTCCATTGCACGCACGCCCTCCTGCACTTCGTCGGCAGCAGCTCTCGCCCTCGACATCATCCTACGACGTTGCTGCCGTCGTCGGCGCAATGAAAGAAGCCGCCCCTTGTCGAAGAAGAATGTTTGCTTACTGCGAACAAGCAGGTAAGTAGGGTGAAGGTTATGGATTAGGGAAGAAGGCTATGAAGGGGTACCCGAGAAGGCTACTGTTGTCGCTCAGCTGAATTCATTGTGTGACAAATCGCTCATTCTGCCCTCAACGGGCCCTCATCTGGTCGCAGCATTTGAGAATTGTTATAGAGATGAGGAGGGTGGTGACTGCATTACTCCGAGGGCGGCCATCTGTTTCCTCCTAGCTGCCTCGACAGCAAACAACTGTGTCTTCGACGCAGCCAGCCACTCAGACTGCAGGCACCCAGTTTGCGAAATAGGTGACGAGAACAGAGCGATGGAGTCTGATGATGTTGATGAGTAGGGCAGGTGGGTGGTGGTAGAACGGAGTATTCATCGCAGAATCAGATTAGCTTGCGATAGGACAGATCGAATTGGAAGTCGGTCGTCACCCTTCCATTTCGGCATCGTCGACTATACCCCAGTGGTCTCTCAGTGATTCTAGCCTCTTTTCAGGGGCCACTATTTATAGAATGAAGCCGAGCACGGTACTGTAAATGCGTTCTCTTAAAGATATTATTCATAACATCCGCTACCAGTTCTGAATGTCTATCCAGCCATGAATGTCCCGAAGAATCGATGTCCGTCTGGATTTCGGCTCTCCTCACAATCATAGAAGCTGTCTCCTCCAAACTAGCAGACACTTTCTTAACCTTCCCGAAACTAATCTGAGAACTCGCATTCACATGAAGGGAATGGTTGGAATTTCTAGGAGAGGTTCTGTAAACTGATCAAATCGTTTATAGTTCAGGTAGCGTTAAGCAGGAAAGTGCATGCGGAAATTCCTTCACCAGCTCTTGCTCCTTTCCCTATCCAGTGAAGCAGACCAACAGAAGAGAATCTGAAACTTGAAAATCGAGCAAATTTTTGGGAGGAAAAGTTATTTGTTAATTTCTCCGTACGACCCCTATCCAAAGTAGCGAGCAAAAACCCATCCCATCCCACCTACACACCCCCTTCCCCCGTGGCCCCGCCCCCTCTCCTTCTTCCGTACGGATTCCAATCCGTTTCATCCTGTTCCTGATCAATTCACTCTGTGTTCATTTACGCAATGGGACATTTACGTAACCAGAGCTATCTGACCTGCTACCTATCATGAGGGCAAACTCAATGAAGAGCCAAGTAATCACCCACACTGTAAAGCCTCCATTTTGCCAATGATAATTGTCACCCAGTATCTGATATTTCTCGGGTCCCGATTGCTTCCTTTTCAGCCGGTATAGACTTTATATCTAAAAGGAAACTTTCTTACAAAGGGGATCGGGAACCCTGATAACGGGTTCAGGGATTCGACCTTC